TGCCTCTTTTTTAGTAAGCTATCATCTATCCAGCAAAGATTGATTTTTAATTTACCATCTCATTTTCCCTTCTTGACAAAACTTTCTCACTTTTCCCCCCCCCCTTTTTTCAGTATAACTTCTTGCCATTCATATTTAAATTTAAACAGAGTTCTGTCCGGAATGTGAAGGATTTTAAAAGTATCAGGGTTTTAAAAAAAAAAAAAAGCAAGTTGAGTTGTGAGCTTGAAGAATGTCAAGTGCTGGGTAAAGAACTACTGATGTACCTTTACTTGAAAGGGAATTTTGGTTTTTTCCTACTATAAATTTCTGCTTACCGTATGCATAAACAGTCGGGCTTAGTTTTAGTCATCGTTCATCTCTACAGCTCTAACTTTTCCAAGTAATTTGTGGAGATGGTGCTGCTCTCTTTTGTAGTGAGCAATGGGATTTGGGATCATAGGAGTCAGTTTAAATATATTTTTAAAGATGGCAAAGGGGTGCATATAAGAAATGCAGCCTGGGACAGTGTATCTTTAATGTGACCTGCTTGGCACTAAAATGAACTTGCTGTGCCCCAATAAGATGGAGATTTAGCCAGCTCATTATGCAATGCTCATTTGCCTATTAGATTATACTTGAACAACCCCCTCCCTCAAACAGAATTCTTCTGGGCAAGTAATACATGTGTATTTCCCCAAAGAGTCAGGAGAGAAAGCAAAATTATCTACCTACTCCTGGTCAGAAGAGGGAACACCAGGAATCCATCCCAAAACCATTAAGAAGGTTTTCTAGTAGTCCTTCCCAAGAAAGAAGATCTACATTTTTCCTTACTTTTAGACTAGATTCTTTTAATCTCAACAAGCACTTGTTTTTAAAAAACACATTCCAAGCTGAAGACATGATTTTTAATTGTCTACATGAGGCCATTTTTACATTACAAATTTTACATTTTATTAGAAAAACAGATTTTACTATGTCAGTCTCCCTAGATTTCACTATAATACAGTTTACACAAGTAAGTACTGTACCTAAATATGAAGGTCATTCTCCAAGTACAAGAGACATACTTAAGGAATCACTTCATGGAGAGTTTTGTTAAGTGTGAACAATAAACCAACAAAATACAATGGAGATTTATTCAAGTTTTGACTTACATACAAATGTTTCCCCCCTACAAGATCTTATGTGGCCGGAGGACAAATGACTTCAACCAAGCTACACAAACTGCCTACTGCATAGGCTTTAGTTATCTGTGTACTTGAAAACAGAATTAAAAGCTGAATTTACCAGGTAAGATACTACACAAGTGTTCGTACAATTGAATTTTAAACAAGGCAGCCTTTAATTACCCATTTTTCCACAAGTAAAAAAAAAAATAATAATAATTTCAGCCTGTCACCATCTAATGACTTTCTTGTTTTTGACAAGTTTTGTCAAGACATGCACCAAAATCCAATTTGGGAGTAAATAAAACCACATTTGCAAGTTATATATGCAGTTTGGCTTTCAGTTACACAGCTTGCTGCAATAGTAATAAGTGACATAAAAATGCAAAAATTTGCAACGCGAAGGGAGAGGTAATTACGGCTTAATTTCTTCACACTGAAACAGAGTACAAATAGCTTATTACTCAATGTGCAAAAAATCCTGCTGGGGGACATAATGGACTTTGCATGAATAGTTGTCAAAATTAGGTATGGAAACCAGAGGATACAAAGGGCTTAAATACTTGTAATGTTATAACTAAAACCCATGCTTTTTGTACACTACATGATTAATGATGCTGAATGTTATTTCAGCTCCCAGGCACTGAATCAACACATCAATCTGTAGTAACTCATGCTGTACCTCAACCAAATGCTGGACCCATTGATATCAATGCAATCAAAACTACATTTTTCAACAATTTTCTAGGTTTTATGGAAAATTCCAAATGTTCAAGATTCCTCTGAACTAACGGACAATGGCACTTGTTGCTGAACGAAGCAGTTCTACTGAAATAACATTAGGAAAGCCAGAGGGACAAGAGGGGCATTTTTGGTTACTAGATTAACTAGAAATGTCTATCCTGAGTATTTTAAATAAATTATCTGAAACCAACCTGCTCTTTGGAATCACAAACTTATTTTCCTCTAAATAGCAACATTATGGGGTTAGCTTCTGCCCTTATAAACTGTGAATTGTAAATATGCATTTTATATTATTAAAATATGGATTACATTATTTGAAGAAAAGAATCAGTAGCAGCCAGCTCCTATTCCTCAAATTCTTTAAGGACACTTCAAGTTCTGCTTTTTGTGCTTAAAAAATGGTCTTTTACAGTTGTACATTTTTAATAAAGTCTGGTAAATGTCTATCAAATAACATTAGCTGAAGGACTGGATTCATCGATTTAACTTTTTAAAAAAAGCATAGTATGCTAAAGAGGATGAAATAGCAAGATGTGATATTAGGCACCTTGCATATAAAGAGATTGCAAACAAACTAGAAGCATTTAAAAATTAGAGTTACTGGTTTGTGGCAACAAGCAAATTATGGATAGTTTTATAGGAGTAAAAGTCAGTTTAAATCAGTGTGTACAAAACCAACATCCTTAAGTTTCAGGAAAAAAACAGGCCCCTTTTGAAGTCGTGTGCCCCTTAGAATGAGCTATAAAGCTAGCATTGGTGCTCTTAGGCTCCATCACTCTCCATAAACAATTTAGTACTGCAGAAAGTTCTGTCTATTTCATAAAAACACCCTTCATACTTTGTTGCTATGGTTTCTCAGCTTTAACTTAAACCCAGTAACCTTATCAATACTTTCTATTCAAAAATTTGGAAAACAGAAACTGGCATGTTTTAGCTGTACGATGTAAACACACACTAATGGCAACTTTTTTATGAAAGGATCATTTTTACATTTCTTGTAAGCATTTTGTCATCTGCCCCACAATCTCACTCTAACTGCAGTTATTACAAACAAATTGTATTTAATACGTTTTACCCATTAGAACAGTCCAAATTAAAAAAATTACACAAGCAATGGGAAATAGAAAAATACTTCTTTTAAATACCATAATTAAGAAGAAATAGCTCTTATCTAACAGTATTCAACAAAGTTTGAACTCTAAGGTTTCCTTTAAGCTAATATAAATAAAACATTGAGTTCAATAATGAACAGTTTATACTATACACTTATGAAAAAGTAAAACCTATTAAAAACCATGTAAAACAAAATTTTCTTAATACAGCCTAAGAATTAAGACTTCAAATTTTACTTCCAGAGAAGGAACCTAAATACCAATTGATTCAGAGAAGAATTTGAAACCTTCAGAGTGTTCAAGAATAAAATGGCCACAATATTGTTTTGATTCATTCAAACCTATCTGATCATATTGGTAAACTGTATGGCTAATTTTCAGCAAAACTAGGTTTTCTACTGCAATTTAGTACTAAAATACATCTAAACAGCAGGTTTAGTACATCTAAACCTCAACTGTTAGATTGTCATTCCACCAGAAATCTTTTTTAAAAAAATAAGCAAATACTTTTACAGCTGTCAGCAAAACAATGCTTTTGTTAAAAGATCTTTAATTATCACCTTTTGCTAAAACTAATACATTTTAGACCAAGCCATTCCATTTGTGCAAGTTAAAGTACAGTACATTTTGGTCAAAATGTTTCATGCCTCAAAGTGTAACAATGGACAGATAGTGAAGCTGTTAGTGATTCTACACAAAAAATGTGAGGCCTTTGCCCAGAGATTGATTTTTCAGACTGCAGAGTGCATGTATACTATATAAAGTGCTTCTGCTAGTAAATTATATTGGCAATAGTTAGTCTAGATGTCCATTTATTCTTAAAAGCTTCATTTGGTAATCTATCCTTCCCTCCCCATCTCCCATCCGCAGGAACAAGGCACCTTCAGCTGTAAGAGATAGACTACCCAACTGCGAAGGGTTAAGCTAGAAAAACGTGTTCACAGTGGTGTTAAGCTGCTGACTACTTTTCACCTGACACTATCTTCCATTGAGCTTTAAGGTTCATGTGTTATTGAAATCACATTTGGAAGAAGCTTTACTTTTTGTTTAGACAGCTGAATCTCACTTACGGAGATTAAAGTTTTATACCCCAAACCATAAATTCATAATATCCTCAGGCATACAAGACCAGCTTGTTGAGTGCTTTACTGTGATTTGGGAATTCTGATGTGAAATTTTAAATATATTTTGTCATTTACATAGGGCCAGAAGTCATACTGATGCACTTAAGCCACCAGATTTTATTTACAAGTAGCAACACATATTGTCTGATGTTATTAGACCTAATCACTTGTATTTTGCTTTTATATATTTGTCTCTACCATCTGCTACTCAACCTTACAGTTAATTATGCTCAATGCATTTACAAGTTTAATATTACTGAAACAAATAATAGGACATCTTAAAGCACAACTAAGTTGTTTTCTTGGAAACATTAACCCCATTTTATATTAATTATGGCCTGATAGAAGGAATTAGCCATTATAGCACTGAAATGGCAAGTAATATTTTAAAAGTAACTTATGAAGAATTATTTCTAATGGTAGAATTTAAGTTTTGAACTAGATTAATCTAAGACTAATTTTTTTCTAAGGGGCTTCTTCTGAAAGCCAAGTTGCAAACAGAACACATCGTCATCACTAATGAACTTCTATATAAAACTATATTCAAGTAGACACCATTTATCAGGTTTCCACAAGATGTTTTACACGTAAATTACAAAAGCAAGTAATCCACTAACATTAGGTAACAGTCACAACAATGGTTATACACTTGTACAAGGCATAGATACTAAAAATTGCCTTTATACCACTGTAGACATGAAGGATCTTTTATGAGCAGGAGGTACTCAGACAATTCAGACCAAATGTGAGTTGGCCTCTTGAAAGAGTCTCTCTCATCACATCAACTTTGATAACTGTTGGGATTAAATGAACACCTCTTAATTATCCATGGAGGAACTCTACTACTATTCTTCTGTTCAAGTCCTGCTGGTCTAGCGTTTAATCACCACTTGCTCATATGCTCCGGATCCTACCCTGAAAAAATAATGCAAAATAAGTTTTCAGTTCTAATTTAAATGGAAGATACTAACTAATACTGAATATAGAACAATGGAATTTTTGTTTCCTTAAAAATTCAGAGAAAAAACAAAATGAAAAGCATTTTCAGATGTCTATTTGAATGTATAAAACTGTTATAGTACAACAGCAGAACATGCAGGTTAGAAAATGCCTTATGGCATTGATCAATAATTGTTTTCATTTATATATTATAATATATTTATATTTTCAGGCAAGTACAACAGATGATATTTCCCTAGTACACAGTGGTTATGTATGGCCTATTGTTTAAAAAACACTTAAGTCTCACAAAGCCAGTAAAGTTGTATTATTTACCAGAGAAGAAATAAAAGCATCAGTTCCCTCAATCTGGTTACAAGGAGGCACCTGTAGTCAATAATTGGATGGTGTCATGAATTAGTCTTTGACTATGTCTACACAGACCCACAGTGCAGACTATGGAGTGTGAATTGCAGCATGCACCGAATTGTTGAGCTCTAGTTATCCTGCGTGGATGCTGCTGGTATGAACTAAAAGGTTGCTAGTTCACATGAACACAGCCCTCTTTCAAACAGGACTATGTTAATGCAAATTACCTTTTAGTTCATGCCACCAGTGTCCAAACAGGGCAATTAGAAGGCAGCATGCTAGCATGCACTGCAATTCACAGTTCTGAACTGCAGGACCAGGTAGCCCTTAGACACAGAATTAAGTCTCTTGCTGCCTTCCCCCTTTACAGAGCACACTGTCACTTGTGTGGTGTGTGCACAACAAAAACACTAACCCAGGAACCAAACCCTGCAACAAACCCCAGTGCCAACTATGTCCACATATCTATTCAAGGGACACCATCATATGACCTAACCACATCAGCCATACCATCAGGGTCTCGTTCACCTGCACATCTACCAATGTGATATATGCCATCATGTGCCAGCAATGCCCCTCTGCCATGTACCTTGGCCAAACCGGACAGTCTCTACACAAAAGAATAAGTGGACACAAATCTGACATCAGGAATTATAATGTTCAAAAACCAGTAGGAGAACACTTCAATCTCCCTGGTCACTCAACAACAGACTTCAAAGTACAGATTCCAATGAGAAACTGCAGAACTGGAATTAATTTGCAAACTGGACACCATCAAATTAGGCCTGAATAGAGACTGGGAGTGGATGGGTCACTACAGAGAGACTAACAAATTGATTTAGTTTAAGGTGCCACAAGTACTCCTAGTTGTTTTTACAAAAACTAATTTCCCCTTGCTAAATACTCACACCTTCTTGTCAACTGTTTGAAACGGGCCACCTTGTTTACATTGGTTCATTAACACTACAAAAGTGATTTCCACCCTTTCTTGTCAACTATTGAGAATTGCCTACTTCCAACTTAAATTGGCTCGTTAGCATTGACCCTCCACTTGGAAAGGCAACTCCTGTCCTTTCATGTGCTGTGTATTTATATCTCTCTACTGTATGTTCCACTCCATGCATCTGATGAAGTGGGTTTTAGCCCACGAAAGCTTAATGCCCAAATAAATTTGTTAGTCTCTAAAGTGCCACAAGGACTCCTCGTTGTTTTTGCTGATACAGACTAGCATGGCTACCACTCTGAAACCTATATCTGTATAGTCTGCTTGAGAGATCAAAAATGAAAGAAGCAGGAAGGGTACGTCTCAGAATTTACAAATATTTGAAGGATGAAAACAGAGAAAAAAGATTAATTATATCGAAATAAGAGTAGCAGCTGTGGGATTAAATTGAAGGGAAAAACAAATTGAGTATCAGGAAAATATCAGAGTTTAGATACTAAAAAAATAGTCAAGACTGACAGGAAAAAGGCCTCCTGAGAGCAATTAGCCTACGGAATAATTAGACCCAGAGGAAGTCTATAAGGCCAACATTTTCGAACCTGGATGCTTACAGTTAGGCTTTTGAATACATATTCAGATACCCAGACTGAAATTCAGGTCACTTCCAAGATGCTGAGCAACCCCAGCTCCCAAATGTTCAGCACCTCTGGGTGCCTAAATATAGATTTAGGAACTTAACTTTAAGCATCCAGGTTTGAAAATGTTGCCTTGTGTTATCCATATCATCTGATTCATTGAGAAAATGGAACTGGCATATATCAGAAACAAAATATTCATAAAAACCTAGTACAATATGCTTTTGCTAACTGATACCTAACAAGTATTAATGGTTCAAACTACATACCTATTGGGTAGATGATGACTTCCAAAAGAAGTACTCCCCCCAGGGCCCACAAATAATCTCAGCCCTTCTTCTACAAAGGAAAGAAGTTAACATGTTTAAATATGACACCATCAATGTTGCCAAACAAATATTCTCTAAAGAATCTTTTTAAAAAACATTTTAAAATCCATGAACTTTGTAAACGATATTTAAAAACGTTTGCATCTGAAAACAACTGGGACCCAATCATAATAAGCTGTGCTTCAGGGAAGGCAATTTTCTTGTAGGATTGCCCCTGCCCTTTTCTGCACAGACTTAGTTAAAGTGATGAGCCCCAGGGGCACAAAGCCCAGCAACCTTCCCCGCCTCTCAGGAGACAGCAGCAGCCAGGAGTTTTCCTGTAATGGTCTATAAACACACCCTACCCGCACTGGGAGTAGGAGCTGGGGTGTGTGTTCATTAAATTAGTGCATTTGGGTCTCTACTGTACTGTACGTCATCTTTTCAAGTTTTTACTTGTTTTCCCCATATATACCTTCTGCACTGGAGTCTAAACTGAAGTCTTGACTCTGCAATATTTTTTCAACGATATCATCTGCATCTACTCTGGTGGCATCAACCCGCTTCAGTTGTGACTCTACAGAGTCTTGCTTCACTGGATGCCTGTCAGGATAAATACATTTAGAGATTCTAAAAACTAATTGTCATTACATTTAATTCAGAGTACTGTCACTATAAGAAGCCTTTCAAGTTATGTTAAGTGTACCTGCTGAGTTTTTCTGAAGATATATCTTTAACAGGAGTATCAAAATTATCATCAGTTACTTTTGGTTCAGTCTCTTCACATGGCTCTAGAATACTTCCAATTCCTGTAGACGTACTTCCCACTGAGGTGTTTCTCCTATGGCAGAGATCAGAAAAACTGGATGATCTGGAGTGACATGTGCTATACCCTATTGGAAAATAGAGAAGAGAGCCACATTAGTTACATTATTAACGGCCAGGGCTGTGCTTTTCTCCACTATTTGGTTTGTTTTTACTCCTGACGAGAGCCTACACATGTTTTAAGAAGCTACATACACTCTCACACTCTATCCAATTCACTTAGTATATTTTCCTTCGGAGTCTTCATCATTCTTCTCTCTGCCTTCTTGGATGGTATCTTCATCAGCTTGAACACATTCTGGAGTTTTCTTTTCAGATTAAGAAAGAAGTGTATTAAGTAGGAATGCATTTTTCCGTGTGGATGACTGTAGCGATTATCAGATCTTTTTCATATCTGACTGACTAATTTTGCCTTTATGGTCAGTGTTGGATTTTTTCAGGTCTTCCTTTAAAATTTTTTCTTCTATTTCTTCACTTCCTGCATCTAGAGACATATATCCAGAGCAAACATGCTTTGGTAATTTTGTTCATGTAAAAGAAGGATGAAACTTGATAAAGTTCAAGTCTTTCCCTTTCAGTATTTTATGGCATTATCACGGATTGATTTTTGCCAGTTTGTGAATTGTGAAGACAAATAATTTCAGGTGCAGCATCTGATGTTAACGAGCTGCTGGAAAAGGAACATAAGGGACATTGCAAAAAAATTTCTATTGCAGGTTTGTCTCCTCATTGTTCTGCTCCACCACATCAGACAATTTCATTGAACTTACACATTTGATCTTGACTCAGAGTAATCTAGTTTTTAACCTTTTGGGATGAGCATGAATCCTTTCTATCTTGCTCATTTATCAACTCTTGAAAATGTTTTCATTTTACTTTAGAAGAATTACTAGCTTCCATTACTTGATTTTATTCAGTTGCTCCTTCCCTATCACTTCTTTCAAGGCAGGTGGAATCAGATAAAGTCATACAATGATGGCTGGTAATCACTAGTCTTTCATTTGTGGTATGATCAGCAATTTAATGTCTACTACAGTTAGAAGGAGAATTTATCATCTAGTGAATTCAACACTTTGAAGAATGAGAAATAAGGTGAGCTAGCCAGCTTTCTGCAGAACCATGTTATTAGATGCTCTGCCAACCTTCCGGATAGTGCTAGAGTCTAGAAAACTCAAGGGGTTGATTTTATAACTACCTAGTCCCCTTTTCAACTGATTGCATGCATTAGCCATGACCCTGTCTCCAATCACCAGTAACTCCACCCATTTAATTCTCATTTCCTAATCGACATAAACAACCCTGGTGTTTTCATCATCATTTCCCTTTTACTTTTTAGAACGCCTGAACCTTTTAGTCACAAATTAGAAACAGGTTCTAACATCAGTTATTTGTTAATAAAAGCTTTCATATACACTATGTCCATGTAAACATTACCGAGTGGCAAAGTTAAAAAAAAAACAAAAAAACACCTCTCCCTTTTCCAAAAAAGTAAGTCCCGCAAAAACCAGTAGGTGGGATTTTTCTTAATTAAAAAAAACAAACCAACACAAAATCAGGTAGTTCCACAACTGTTGGTAGTTTGGTTTTAAAAGGGTTCACAATTCAAAAGCCCTAACTAGGTAGAATGTTTTTTTACCCACAAGCAGCCTATTTATATCAAAATGCTTTGTGAAGCTTCTGAAATACCAAAGCTAATAAAACTAACTCAAAGGAATTCAACATCAACTTCTACCTGACAATTTTGATTGCTGGCTTGCATAGCTTGATGTTCTGGAATGTCCACATGCACCAAGTTCATCTGGGACTGATGCACTCTTTGCTGAGAGATCTACAATAAACGACAGTCAGAAAATATTGTTGAATCCAGCACTCAGTTTTTGGCCTACAGCTATTATCAGACAGATGTCAGACCTCACAAGATAAGCAGAATGGGACTTGATACTAGTTAGATAAGAAACCTCTAAGGAAAATCCAGGTGCTGCAAGAAATGTTGTCAGCGTTCAAGTACATGACACTCACCTGGACTATAAATAATTATTGATTCAAAGGAGAGCGTATCAGAGGGTACACAATTGGACAGCTTTTGGCTGAAGTACATTAATGACCAGAGGAAGCTGGGCCTTGAGTGAAGAGCCGATAACACTGCTTTTCCGGGGAAAGTGCCAACGCAGATGTGCTGGCCACTTTTCAAGCAGATACTTTTATAAAATTCTCTGTAGTTTCAGTTGACAGAATACCATTTCCTGTCCTAATCTCTGTCTAATATTGATGTGCACTAGTAAAATATATTGAGGCTCACCCTAGAGTTGCAGCATTATCTCTAGACTGATTCTTGCCTGCATATTTGTACCTGCCTCTGGAAATTTCCACTACATGCATCTGACGAATTGGGTATTTTTTACAGATCCAGACTAACACTGCTATCCCTCTGATACTTGAGCATTTTAATAGTAAGTGAACTGATTTCTATAGTTTGTCAGCTTTCAGTATGACAAATGCTAAGTGATTCTTAAACTTGTACCATTAAAAACCTTATTCAATATCTATCCATAACACACCAAATCACAAAAGAGTTAGCTAATTTTAAGGGCCAATACACCCATGAAAGCACGATCATTCATAAATTAAATATTAAGGGCCAGATTCTGCTTTTTAAATTCTCAATGCCATTGAGATTTGCTTAAGTAGCAGAAAATACGCTCATAAAATATTTTGAATTTTAAAAAGGGACACAGGCAATTGATCCGATTTCCCTTTCTTTCCCACTTTTAATAGAAATACTGCTCCATTACACCAGTGTAAATCCAGCACATCAAAGGAATTACTCTGCATTTACATAGTGGTACCAAGAGCAATATTGCTCAACAAAACAGAGTAGAAAGGGGATTTGGGATAAAATGTCCATGTCTGTTTAACATTCAAAATATTTCATGAATGTATTTGCTGCTACTTAGGTCTCAAACAATAATAAAACCAATAGCATTATTTCATACCTGATACACCCAGACGTACCACTTTCAAGTTCTCTCCACCTTTCCTGTCTTCATGTAAAGATTCCAATTCTCCAGCAATTGAGATGGACATTCCTGTGGAAGGAGGCCTGTAAGCAAATGCACAGAGATCAGGGTTTGCTTTTATCTGTGCTTGTCTCTTTTTGGAAGCATCATTGTGATTTGGGTGGTGGTGGGGGTTATAGGTTCAATTCACATTGGACTTCACTGGGGCTTAATAAGATTGTAGTATCAATAAATTTAGGAACACAGTCCCCCAGTTCCCTTTGTCCAAAACTGTTCAAATTCAGGGTTCCTTGCAAAGTTCATCCATTTTCTCAGCCTTCTGGGAGGACTGAAACTCTTGGAGGATCCATGGAAAGATACAGATACATCTTGTTGACTGATTGTTGGTTATTTTTTTTAATTGGAAGGGGAGGTGTTTGGTTTGGATTTAGTTTTTAATTAAAGTACTCCGAGCCCAGGATAGGCATTTTGAGTGTATACAAATGTTTCTATCCTTGGCAGAACACACAGGTTCAGTAAGAATAACCAAGTGTCCAGTGTCCCCTTTCCATAACATTTACATTACTAGAATGTAAATTTGTTTGCAGGGATATAAAGCGAGACACTTGACTCCAATTCTGACTTAAAATATACATGTATTTTATTACAAGACATTATTAATTTGTTTTACTTCAAGAGAGCCAATGTGGAATGAGTGACATTTAATACCACAGTACTAAGCTTATGATTACATGATAGCTGGCTAATCAAACAATAGCAGAGTTGAGTTGTTTGGTTTATTTCCAGCTGGAAATGCTTTTCATGGCCTGCCACAGCAATAATAATTTAACAACTGCCTCAATGGCCTCACCCACGTACATGGGGTCTATGGACAATGACAAGGTGTAGCAGGCATATTTCCTATTAAATCTTAATCCTTCTCTATGATTTTTTTTTTAGGTCAAATGCATACCTAAGCAATAGGTTTGCTTACACACATCCTCTCCCCCACAAGTAATGGGCATAAAGATACATACAACCAGAAACAGTTCAAAATATGAAAATGTAATAACTGAGCTATCCCATACGAAATATTCAACCAACATGCCAATTTTAACTATACTCAAGGAGATACAGTTTATTGAACACAAACTGGTTTCGCTACAGAAGAGTATCTACCACAAAATCATGGAGTCCGAGAGCCTCTGTGCTGTTGAGGCGGAGGAAAGTCTCAGGGAAGGAGAACATCAAGCAGGAGCAGAAGGAAACTATCCCATAGTTGGGAACCTCTTTCCAGATGTCCTGCTGTCCTCTCACACTAAGGATACCCCTCTGGTGGAGGGGACCCGAGTTATTAGGAAGAGATAGGTAATAGTAATGGGGGATTTGATTATTAGCAATACAATATAGATAGTTGGGTTTGTGATGACCGAGAGAACTACATGGTGAGCTGCCTGATGGGTGCGAAGGTTGCGGACCTCTCGAGGCATCTAGATAAGCTTACGTGCAGTGCTAGGGAGGAGCCAGTGGTGGTGGTACACGTAGGTAAAAATGACAAAAAGTAGGAGAGAGAGAGATCGTGGAGGCCAAATTTAGGCTGCTAGGCAAAAGATTAAAGTCCAGGACCTCCAAGGTAACATTCTCTGAAATGCTTCCAGTTCCACACCCAGAGCGAGTTAGACAGGCAGTAGCTGTAGCTGATTTTCATTTGATTAGAGAATTTGAAAAAGTTTCCATTTTCTAAGAAAACAGCCAGCTAATCAAAACAAAACTAAACAAAACCCCACATCTGGATCAGCTACAATATTTGCTGGGTTTGATTTGAAAGTTTAGTATTCCAGGAAAGAATTATATCATCAGTTTGGAAGATGATCAAGACTGAATAATTTTGTGAAGTAAAATACATTGTGAAGTAAAATACAAGTTTTAACACATAACCAAGAGATTCTTTTTGCTTTTATTGCAAGCCCCTAACATCAATTATACAACAGAAAGAGACTTTAAAGCCCTGTTAAAGGACTACTATAGAGAGCCCGATTAAATTTTTTTCTGGAGACAAAGTTATCCATAAATCTCAGATACACTTTTTATGGCAAAACAGAAAAAACTCAATTTAAATGTTGATTTCAACTTTATATGTACTAGTGTACAGAGAAAAGGAATAAATTATTTTATTAGAAAACTGGCTAGAATTTAGTAGCCCTTTGGGAATCACTGCTCTGAGTAATATCAGGTTAATGCAATCAGTGCCAGTGACATATGTAGAAATGTGGCAATAAGTAAATATAGGAGTGTGCAATAAACAGAGATAAAACAAACTCTGCCCTGCTAAACAAACTAAGATAATACATTTTCATCTCCTGTCCACTATGTAGTGGGTGAAATCCTCATCCTTCCACTCAGGCCCATTTATACCAGGTTAAAAAAGGGGCCAGAGCAGTGTACAAGGGATCTAATAGCCCTGGATCTGACCGGGGAGAACTCCCGCACTGTAGGAACCAAGGAAGATTGCAGGCGGGCCATACTCCGAGGTCACCCTCTCAAGCCTTAGTGTAGGGGATATGGCCACAGCATGTAACCCTGCAAAGATTCTGGTTGCCATAACTTAAACAGCCCCTTACTGCTGTCTACATTACATCAGAGTCTGCTTTGAACCTTGGAGCAACCCAGAATCTGGAGGGTGCAAATGGTAGCCTTAAAGCCACATCAGCTCCACACATCACATTAGGCTGAGAATACTGTGCTGCATCTTTTAGAATCCAGTCCAGAATATCTCCCAGTATATTTTATTTTAATACTTAATTTTTTATTAAATTTGTTTTATATTTTACACAACAAATAAAGTAGGGCTGTCAAGCGACTAAAATAATTGCGCAATTAATCGCACTGTTAAACAATAATAGAATATCATTTATTTAAATATTTTTGGATGTTTTCTACATTTTCAAATATATTGATTTCAATTACAACACAGAATAAAAAGTGTACAATGTTCACTTTATATTTATTTTTTATTACAAATATTTGCACTGTAAAAAACAAATGAAATAGTATATTTCAATTCACCTTATACAAGTACTGTAGTGCAATCTCTTTATCATGAAAGTTGAACTTACAAATGTAGAATTATGTAAAAAAAATAACTGCATTCAAAAATAAAACAATGTAAAACTTTAGAACCTACAAGTCCACTCAGTCCTACTTTAGCCAACTGCTCAGACAAACAAGTTTGGTTACGATTTGCAGGAGATAATGCTGTCCACGTCTTGTTTACAATGTCACCTGAAAGTGAGAAGAGGCGTTCACATGGCACTGTTGTAGCTGGCGTCACAAGATATTTACGTGCCAGATGCGCTAAAGATTCATATGCCCCTTCATGCCTAAACCACCATTCCAGAAGACGTGTCCATGCTGATGATGGGTTCTGCTCGATAACGATCCAAAGCAGAGTGAACCAACGCGTGTTCATTTTCATCATCTGTGTCAGATGCCACCAGCAGAAGGTTAATTTTCTTTTTTGGTGGTTCGGGTTCCGTAGTTTCCGCATCAGAGTGTTGCTCTTTTAAGACATCTGAAAGCACGCTCCACACATCATTCCTCTCAGATTTTGGAAGGCACTTCAGAATCTTAAACCTTGGGTTGAGTGCTGTATCTATCCTAAGAAATCTCACATCGGTACCTTCTTTGTGTTTTGTCAAATCTGCTGTGAAAGTGTTCTTAAAATGAACGTGTGCTGGGTCATCATCCGAGACTGCTATAACATGAAATATATGGCAGAATGTGGGTGAAACAGAACAGGAGACAAACTCCTTGGGAGAGAATTGTGTCACAAATTTAATTAACACTTTTTTTTTTTTTTTTTTTTTTTATTAAAAACGAGCATCGTCACATGGAAGCATGTCCTCTAGAATGGTGGCTGAAGCATGAATGTTTAGCATATCTGGCACGTAAATACCTTGCAACGCTGGCTACAAAAGTGCCACGCGAATGCCTGTTCTCACTTTCAGGTGACATTGTAAATAAGAAGCAGTCAGCAGTATCTCCTGTAAATGTAAACAAACAAGAAGTAGGACTGAGTGGACTTGTAGGTGCTAAAGTTTTAAATTGTTTTGTTTTTGAGTGCAGTTATGTAACAACAAATCTACATTTCTAAGTTACACTTTCATGATAAAGAGATTGCTCTACAGTACTTGTATGAGGTGAATTGAAAAAATACTATTTCTTTTATCATTTTTATAGTGCACATATTTGTAATAAAAATAATATAAAGTGAGCACTGTACTCTTTGTATTCTGTGTTGTAATAGAAATCAATATATTTGAAAATGTAGAAAAACATCCAAAAATATTTAATAAATTTCAATTGGTATTCTATTGTTTAACAGTGCAATTAATTTTTTTAATTGCAGTTAATTTTTTTGAGTTAATCATGTGAGTTAATTGCGATTAATCGACAGCCCTACTTTATTCACAAGGGGACTGACTTTGATCCAGATTAAGGCTCAGAAAGTAGGAAAATAAAATTAGAAATCCTCAAGGAGAAGACATCTGAGACACACTGACAGAATAAGAAGGTAGACATCAGATTTTTCAGATTACTATTATTCGCCTCTTTATTCTAGACTAGTTTTTAATCTTTGAGTGTCACCTAAGGTTTTTCTATCTTGTCCCATTGGATATTGTTTGAAAGGACTAAAAGAATAGTAGCTAACACTATAAACTGAAGAATTCTATACAATATTTTGAGTTTGTGCTCAGCACAATATACTGTTAATAGAAACATCATGTAACAGAACCACACCCCATCCTTAACTAGTTTAGTTAAGACTATCTGTCTTTCTCTTCCCCCATTAATTATAAAGTGCCCATTATCCTGGACTTCTAGCTTGGCATGTAAACAGTGGTTGAGCCTAAAACTGGCAATTTAGGAGTTCAGTTCAGTTCAGAGAGGATTTATAAATCATCCTAACATCTAGTTCATCTAATTTGAAGTTACAAATGTGTACATGTGTGACGTTATTGATATAATCTGGGACCATATAGATCATTGTTGCAACCAAGGTCCTGTAGTGGCACGCAAATCTTGTATAAAGGGGGTCAAATGGGGTGTCTAAGACAAGGTTATGGTTTACTGGTTATGATTAGGCTGTCTATATGTGTGTATCAATTTTGTAGTTGAAGTTATGAATATTGGCTCTATACTGTCTGTATTTCAAACTTATGCTATGCTGCTGGGTGACATCCCAGACAAACTGGTGTTAGCTCTGCCTAGCCTGCTTGATGGCCCATTAAGGACCATCAGCTATACAATGGACCCATTGAGAGAAGGCAAATATGCCTTGAGACTCAGCAAAGTATGCAGGAACTTGCCCATGTGACTCCAGACTCCATTTTGCTGTAATTTTCCACAGTAAGAACAAAGAGGTGTTCTTACACCTGGAAAAGACTATATAAGGCTGATTCCTCATCTCCATCTTGTCTTCAATCCTGCTTCATACCTCTGGAGGAACTTTGCTACAAGCTGAAGCTTTGAACAAAGGACTGAGGACCCATCCCAGAGACTTGATTTGAACCTGCAGTTTATTCTATCGCTGCTGCAAGCCTGAACCAAGAACTTTGCCATTACTGTATGTAATTGATTCCATTTAACCAATTCTAGCTCTCATCTCTATCTTTTTCCTTTTATGAATAAACCTTTAGATTTTAGATTCTAAAGGATTGGCAACAGCGTGATTTGTGGGTAAGATCTGATTTGTATATTGACCTGGGTCTGGGGCTTGGTCCTTTGGGATCAGGAGAACCTTTTTCTTTTACTGGGGTCTTGGTTTTCATAACCATTTGTCCCCATAACGAGTGGCACTGGTGGTGATCCTGGGAAACTGGAGTGTCTAAGAAGATTGCTTGTGAGACTCGCGGTTAGCCAGTGGGGTGAGACCAAAGTCCTCTTAGTCTGGCTGGTTTGGTTTGCCTTAGAGGTGGGAAAAACCCCAGCCTTGGGCTGTAACTGCCCTGTTTGAGGAATTTATCCTGAGTTGGCACTCTCAGTTGGGTTCCGCCAGAACCGCATTGTCACAACATGACATCCAAAAGTCTTACCAGTTCAAAATACTGTTTTTTTAAAATGAAGGCAAGTGTATAATTTTGCATTGAGTGTTAAAAGAAAGCAGCAGACAGCATACCATTAGGGGAGGGAAGGAGAGATATTTCTTAATATGAACTTTGAAGGATTAATGTTTCTCCTGCCTATACCTAAACAGCAGCTCTTTATTTTGGACATTGCTAAACTGGCTCAAGGGTCATGATTTTAAACATGTAACTCCTTTTGATTTGCAGTTACTTCCACTTTTTGACAAAATATTCTGAGAGATATACATGTAATCAAACATTAATTTCCCAAAACCATGTTAAATTTAAACTAAAAAAGTCATATCTAGAACTTGCATTTACAGGGTGTAATTTCATTTGAACAGCAGCCTGGATTGAATAAAAACCTAAGTACAAATAAAGTTCAAATTACTTGAATGGTTTAAACATAAGCCGGACAGATCTGGTTGAATAAGACAAAAGTGTTTAATAGCTAAGGCTATGAATCATTCATGGAGGTCACGGAAGTCACGGCTTCCGTGACTTTCTGTAAGCTCCGTGAATTTTGCAGCTCTGGTGCGGCTGACCCCAGGACCTCCGCAGCAGCTGGGAAGCCCCGGGGCCAGCCGCACCAGCCACTGCCCTGGCGCTGCCCCAGGCCGCTCCCCACCCAGACCAGCGGCAGGGGGGCCCCCGGGTCGCCCGCCCCTCCAGCAGAAGCATTGCCCCACGTTGCCCCGCCCCAAGCAGCAGTCTTCAGGAGCACCCCCTTTCTGGGGGGTAAGATTTAGTCACAGGTATTTTTAGTAAAAGTCATGGACAGGTCATGGGGCCATGACTTTTTGTTTATTGCCTGTGACCTGTCCATGACTTTTACTAAAAATACCCATGACTAAAATGTAGCTTTATTAATAGCTTTTAAGTGCAACTAGAAAATCTTGCCATTCAAAAAGCCATTTGGAACTAGAATTGAAGATAGCTTGTCATTTTTAAGAGATTGAAAGCGCTTTGTACATCTTTACAAGCCAGAAAAGTAGCATTAGGTTTTGTACTGTTCTGGTAATAGTGGTAGGTCTTACAACGATGCATCTAATATTTAAAAGCTTTTCCATTTAATGTTAATGAAAGTGGTCTCAAAAAAGCACATTTTAAAAATAAAAAACTAACCTTCAGAGTCCTACAAATATGATTTATGGTGGTAAACGCTGAATAGTATCTCCATTCCTACTGACCAGGTTATCTAAATTGTGTTTAGCAAACTGTGGCTTTGCTGGAAATAGGAATTTTCCCAATTGCACTGTTACAATTAGGCCACCCGCCAAGCTTGTATGACTCAGAATAAAAAGGAAAGAAGGCAAAATTTATCGTACTCACAACTACATTTTTCCCTAAGGTGCAGCACATGATTTTCTGCTATGTGGTTAGCTGCAGAAGTAAACACACAATGAAGTAGAGCTATTGTATTCCCTTAGCTACAAATCAAACACAGATCCTTGTTACAAAGCAGCGTATTTTCCTCACTACCACCTCCCTTCCCAAAGAAAGCATGACATTTTTTGCTATCTTACACAATGACCTTGGTAACAAATCTTTTTTATATGAAATCAGATCACACAGACTTTTGAATTTTAAAGAAATCATTTATAAACCTATGAGGTTTAGTTACTGAAAGATGTAATAGCTTTTCTAAAACGTAGGCATCAATAGAGTTCCTCTCCACCAACCAAGTTTACATAGGCTTTGTGCAGGGAACAGTATTTGCCCCAAGTGTTTTTCTGAATTTCTATAGCCTTTATAGTTTAAAATTTGATATATATTCAAGTAGAGAATATAAAGTATTTCAAGGCAATGAAAAAAACTGCCACTCAACTACCAGTATTTATATTCTGTTAGTCAGTATTCAGCTACCATTTAAATTTTTCATGTTTCTTTAATATTGTCACTTTGAAGATAAAGATTTGGACACGTACAACTTTAAACAAGAGTTGAGCCACTAAATTACAACTGAAATTCCAGACTCCATAGCGTTCATAAACTTACGTTTTAAAACATGGGTCTCCAGACATTAGCTGCATGCTGATCAATACCTACAAATCAGGAAAAACAACACACATAAGCAAAACAAAGAAAACACCATAAGGCAGCAAAGGAATTGATCTGTGATGTTATATGGTGTGTCAATAAGTAATACTCATTACCAAATTTGCATTTAAATTGAAAATATATGTGTGTATACACACACACACACACACACAGGATGGCCACATGCTTCTGTAAAGAAAACTAATTGTGTCCAAAATAATACTGGTACAGAAGAGAGTTAACCGCTATAAATCTTACATGGCAGTCTTTTAAACAAACCAAAAGCTACAAACTAGTGTTTGAAATAGTTACATTATCTCATTTCTACCTTAGGATTCTATAAAAGGACACAAGAAAATACAATAAAAATAAGTATCAACAGTAGGGGGTTCAAGAGAGAGAAGGACTGTAGGAGATCTCGTCCGTCCCCCTAGATCAACAATGTGAATGTACAAGGAATTCCATTTGCACATTACACCAGCAGCAGGCACATTACTCCGAATCATCATTTATTAAGAGTTTCTTATTAAATTGTCAAGAGACAAAAACTGGTTGTGCTACCATCATTGGGAAGGTCACAGGTGAAGGCAACCATAAAGGCAAATAATGTCATCAAACATCCATAAACACGGCAAGTCAGGACTCATTTGACCAAAAAGTTGACACCACCAGCAGCGTTTTCATAAATGTTTTCTGGAATAAAGAAACATGTTCTGGAGGAGCCTAGGACTGCCCCAAACAAGCAGAAACTGAAGACCTAAACTGTATAGTTACCTTGTGACTGATCAATCCCAGTGCCCCAACATCACAATTTAATCAAATTACACAAATCTGTCCCAAATTCTACTGATCCAAATGGATTAGAACAGAAAAGGATGGTGGTTCTAGATCACTCTCAGGGGTTCAAGATTTCAAATATTTCTACAAATTCTTTGGCACTGGTTAGAGAGTGAGTGGAAGGGGATTTCCATCTCCCATCACAATCCATGACTGAATGTTAAAGCTGGCTCGTTCTTTACAGAATTAGGCAAGCCAACTAAAGAAAAACTACCCTGAAAAGAACTAACTGCATAGTTACAAGAACATATAACTGTTACAGTATTTATATAAACTATGTCTACACTAGACTCCGATTGTCTTCTTATATTGAATTTACTTTGCATTGCCAATTCCTATTGGAATACGAAACTAAAATTAATTTAATACTTAAAAATGGTTCTCCAATATAGCTCACTAATCAGAGTTCCAAAACCGGCAAAAATAATCCACCAATTTGTTGCTTGTATGGATTTCACTTGGTTCTCAAAAATAAGGCTGAGATTTTCACTACATTATATTACTTACATGTCCAGTCTTCCTGTAGTAAGAGTGATTATTGACAGAGAGGATGTTCAGCAACAGCAAATATATTTTAAACCTTGTTAAATGCTTGGCTGTCATGTTTGTGGTTTTCAGTTCCACAACATATTAGTTCCTGTTTTTCCCTTATGCAGTTAATAGAAATGCACTTTTACCCCAGATAATATGATGGGAAAAAACCATGAATTACTTTGAGAATGGAATTATCCTGTCTGGTATTTTTGGTATCATAACCTTCCAATAAACAGCGACGAGTGGTATTTCCCGATCCAGCAAACTCTGCAAGGTTTAGGTCTGCAAAGCCCAGCTATTAAGAGAGAATGAAGAGTTAGATATCGTAGTATAATCCAGGGACACTTACTGTATGCACAATAATTAGTATTCATTATTAGCCTTTAATCACACTTGAATTAGAATGACTGCTTCATGCAGAAGGGATGGACTCAAAAAAAAAAGAAGGAAGTAGTTACATTAGAAAAAAAGAAAAAAACGGGTCTACAAAACCTCGTAAATATTGTTAGAATTGATACTGTTTAATATGATTAAATGCCAAATGCTGCTCAGCTGTACTCTTAGTTTCAACTTACACCTAAAAAACCCTAGGAAGGCTTTTTAAATATTGAAAATCCCATACACACAAAAAATATAGAAGTAAAGACTTCCATCATTCTTGAGAGGCAAAGAAAAGCGAACTCCAAGAGAGGTGGGGGGAGATTTAAGTATGTCCAAGCTACCTCTCAAATATCAGTACTTCTACAAAATAGATGAGCTGGAAGATCATTTTGGGTATCAGAATGATAGGTATTCTAGCCTATTATTAAGCTAAAATAAGTAAAGAGCATAAGAGAGCAAGAAGGAAGTATCAGTTTATAGAACAGATCATGTCTATTTACCTTTGCGTATGCCTTTCCACCTTTTAACTCCTGCAAAAAGAAACATACACTAGTAACTAAACAAGTCATAAAAATTTAAAATATTGCCTTTTTGAAGGAACCCAACATGTACACACATTTTAAGAGATATCTGAACATAATATTGCCATAGTATTAGTCTATTATATTGCTAATTGTAACAGGAAGAGACCTTGTGTGCTTCTCCCAGCTTCTTCTCAGGCCTACCCAGGGACCCCATCAGGAAGCCAAGAAAGATCACCAGGAGGGGAGGGGAGAAGTAAACTGCAGAAGCCTAACTTCTCCCCATCCAAGTGGTGAAGGGGTGTGCATAACCCCCATCACTGTGGGGCCGACCAATTACATACCCTGGTTTGTGAAATAAGCATTTTTGCAAAAAATAAATTTAAAACACCTACCCCTGAATGTTGAGGAACCAGCTGGTAATTAAATAAAAAAGCAAAAGTACTCCAATTTATTTTCTAATGCATGCAGTTGGAAGGTTCCCAAAACAAACAAAAAAAATCCCTGCTGCCTTCACAAAGTCACTTCAGGATAGACGGACAGCTGTTCAGTGCTACAGCACCAGTTTGTTTCTGCTGCTAAGGGTAAGGCGTGCAGGAGATGCACCTCTGGAGATCAGGAAAATCAAGCCAGTACATGGCACAAGTTCAGGGCCTCTAACGGTATGTCTACACTACAGCTGTGAATGAGTTTCCCAGCTCAGGTAGACAGACTTGTGGTAGTGGGACTTGAGCTAGCATGCTAAAAATGGCTGTGTGGACGCTGTGATTCTGGCAGAGACTCAGGCTAATCACCCACGCTCAAGCCCACCTGAGCCACTGGGCTTGAGCTCAGGAAGCTAGCCTGTGTCTTAACTGGAGCCACAACGTCCACACAGCTATTTTTAGCACAGTACCTTGAGCCCTCCTAACACAAGTCTGTCTACTCCAGCTGAGAGGCAATTTCCCAGCTCCAATGTAGACATACCCTAAGCTTGCTGCTTCTTGCTCTTGACTTTTATGCACTGCATCAGTCACTGACCAGGAAGAGTTGGGCTTTTCCCAGGAAGAAAGTGAAGCCAGCTGTTACTGGATGAAAGAATAAGCAGTTTAAATATATTTCTGCTACTCGTCCTTGAGTTCTTGTTGAAAAGTGAAGGCATTACTGTTTCCTCATTCTAATCTTTTCAAAAGACTCTGAATTCCCACAGCAATAGAGAAGATCTGTTTGTGGCAGAGTAGAGAGATGCAGTCACCTTGTTACAACTAACAAAGGAACAACTGAATACATTCAATCTGCAGGCTCTTAAAAATTTCTGCTACATTTAGTACCTTAATATAATTGAAGGCAAGTTTTATAACTTGAGAGTTTTATCCTTCTGTAAGTATGTTGAAACTGCACTGACCTACCTTGGTTACGTTACAACATAAATTATGAAATTTTTCACCAGACAAAAGACATTTTTATATTATACACACACACACAATAAGTTTTAAACAGACAACTTAATACTGGTACACAGCGATGATGATTGTGAAGCTTGGCTGAGGTGGTGAAGTCAGAGGGTGGGATATTTCCCAGGGAATGCCTTACCACTAAATGATGAACTATCAATTGGTTGAGCCCTCAAGGGTTACTCATTGTTAATGTAGCCTCGCACTCTACAAGCCAGCACGAATGGAGGGAGGGAAGACAGCATGGCAGACAGAGAGACACATCGTGGGTGTGTGTGAGAGAAATGCGCATTGCTCCTTTAAATACGCTGACTGCACTCTAAGTACACTACCTTTTTAAGTTGATCAGCAAGCTGAGACGGCAGCTTCAGCCAGGAAGCTCCCTCCATCCTGAGGCCTGTTGTGTGTCCTCCCCTGCTCTATGGAAGATGGGGTAAGCGGGGTGCAGGAGAAGGGGGAAAGGGGACACCCTGACATTAGCTCCCCTCTTCCCCCCACCTCTCCCACACAGCAAGCAGGAGGCTCTGGGGAGCAGCTCCAAGGCAGAGGGCAGAAGCAGCACATGGCAGTGGGGGGAGGGACAGCTGAACTGCCGGCAATTGATAGCCCGCTGGGCGGCTGCCGCACAGGGAACTTAGGGGAGCGGGGGGCTGCCGGTCCACCCTGGTTCCAAGCCCCCACCAGCTAGCTGCAACGGGCTGCTCTTCCTACAAGCAGTGGACAAAGCAGGCGGCTGCCAAACGACGTTATAAGGGAGCCTTGCACAACTTTAAATGAGTATGTTCTCTAATTTATCAGCAACATAACAACGTTAACTGAGACTACTTTAAGTGAGGAGTTACTGTATGTGAATTAGAGTTAAGTAAGCAAATGATCAGATGACAAAATTATGTTGACTAATAATGAGTATTTTACATGGCTACAGCTACAATTCATTTTATAATGTTTGTTAGCTCTATAAAAATAGAGAGGACAGTAGTAAATGATCAGAGCTACAGTGGAAAAAAAAATTATGGTCTAGAAGAGGAAAAGTGCTGTTTTTACCTTCCGTACAGATACTCTGCAGATGCAAGGATCCAGAATGCCTGTAGTGGCACTGGCACTCATTTTACACATAAATAAGAACTTCTTCTTCCAGTGAACAGAGTTTGCCTGCACAACCTCTCTGCAAAAAGGAGGGAAGGGGAGGAGAAGAAAGACAGCCATTATAAACAAACATCTAAAAAACAATATATGCAGTCAAAACCACAAAAGACCACTGGACAAATTTGAGTAATGTGATAGATCCAGTCAGTTGGGTGTAGCAGAAGGCAGATATACTGGCTACTGGATTAACAATTTTCTGTTCCCTGACTGACCAGAGCAGGGGCTGCTCCAGGCTAATGAGAACATCTGACTCCAATTAACCTGCAAAGAGTCAGGTGAGGCCATTAAGCTAATGTGACCACCTGACTCTAATTAAGGCCTCTCTGATACTATAAAAGGACTCACTCCAGTCAGGCAGAGGAGAGCCAGAGGAGGGGAAGTGCAGCTGAAGGGCTGGTTACATGAAGACATGCCCAAGTAATTGGTAAGGGAGAAGTAGGAGAGCTGTGGGGAAGTGGCCCAGGGAAATGTAGCAACTCTGGCAGTGAAAGGTTGGCTGCCACCATTAGGATCCCTGGGCGGGAACCCGGAGTAGAGGGCGGGGCCGGGTTCCCCCCCAACCCACCGCTACAGGAACATCTCCTAGAAGGGGAAGTCAGGCCCCTGTCAGGTCAGGAGGCTAAACTGTTCTGAAACAAGCCCCTAGGGACAACAGAGACTGGGAGTTCTCTCACCAACCTCCTTGCTGGCTTATGATGAAAAGGGCTCAGTAGACTGTAACCCTGGCCCTAGAGAGAGAGAAGGGCTACGTGGAGGGTCGTAGTGAACCACTGAGGCTAGCATATACCGCGTAGAAGTGCGGGACCCAGAGGGACAAGGTCAGAGCTCTGCCACAGTAAACATTGAGTTGAAGTGGCACAAACATGAATCACTATCAAAAACTTGGTTAAAAATGTCTGTATGTGGTGAAAAATTAAACAAACTTTCTTCCTTTTTTTAAAAAAAAAAAGTCTAACCATGTTTAGTACTTTCGGTGTTTAGTACAGCTCTTGTGATAGCCACAATGCAACATGCTGGGTGGAAAAAAAAATTGACAACTAAGTTCATTTTCATAGAAAAGCAAAATGAAATAGATAAGCTGCATCTCAACCATGCAAGGGTACACAGACTTGACACTAAGGAGAAAGATGACTAGACTAACTGTTAGGACAGCAGTAATGGAAAGGATTTTATTTAAATTAGTTCATTTACTGTGCCTAAAAGTGAAGAGCTAAAGCCAACTAGCTTAAGTTAGGCATAACACAAGGAGGAATTGTACAAGCTTCCCCACACAGTTTGTGCAAGACTCATCAATCCTGATATGTAACATCCCTGCTATTCCATTGAGGGCTCCAACATGACTGGTGGCCTCTAAAAACGACTCTTTTCATTTGGCAAAACTAAGTTAGTAAATAGAGCTTTGATGAGACCTGAGCAGAATTTCAATCCTTATCTTACAGAGATAGAAGACAAGTGCATTCACCCACTGCACCACCTGAGAATCTTAGACATTTAAAAAAAAAGGCAAAAATACATAAGTGTTATTTGATTTTGTTTTTAAAGACTATTTGAAATATGGCAAATAGTTGAAGTTCTGTCCAAATCCTCCATTTAACCTCAAGACAAATCCAGCACAGGAAGTGGAAGTAGAAGCTTCCCTACACTCTCCTGTCAGTGTGAATCACTCCTGACGTGGACAGGGGAAAATATAGTTCGTTCTTACCAAAACAGAGAATTACAATCATGAGCTTTCCCTCTAGGTACAATACCAGGGATTTCATGTCTGAGTGAATAGGAAGGATGCAGTCTTTCTAGCTCATCCTTTAGGAGTGTTTGCCTGGTCACTAGCAGTTGCAGACCTGCCAAGTGTCAAGCACTGGGAATGACATTCCTGTCTGCAGGCCCCATCTCATGCATCCAGTAGGGACTAAATAGGGTTTTCTTTACCATTACTCCTGACCACTGCAGGCCTATCTGGCTGCTTTCTCGTCTCCGTGGCAACTCACAACCTTCATGGACTCCTTGACAGCAAGGAGGTGATGGATGCTTCAGTGCGCTCTTCTCAGTAGAAGGTGGACAGGATGGTATCAGAGGCTGATGTGGATGGGAGAGTGGCTGAATAGGATAGGGGCAGATGGCCAATATGGAGGCTATTAAGATCATATGCAGAAGGGGAGAGGCTCCCCAAATTCCTCCACGAAACTCTAAATACCGCCATCCACCTTGTATGACAACCCCAGGCTTCCTCTCAGGAGTCCCTCCCAATTCCCGTCTGCCCAGCAATACCACCCTCCCCTCTTCAAGTTGCAGCTCGCTTGCCTTCCCCCACAAACCTTCCCACTTCTGAGGGGTGCAGAGAATGAACTTCTACCTTCCCCAAACACCTGCTCCCACTCCTTGGGGAACCCTATAGGAAGAATCAGTGGCTTGTCACTGGTGAGAGACAACATACATGAAGCAGCACAGAACTTAGCATCTATGCAAGTTGTTTACTTTCTGTGGCTGGATATGAGATAACAGAAATTATTCCCCCCCTCCAAGAAGCTACAAAAGGCAAGAATATCCTCCACGTTAGAATTCTCAGGCTGCTTTTTGGGGCTCAGGAACGTCAGGGGTGAGAAAGGTAGGAGTAGGAGAGAAATAAACTGCTTTTTTGATACATCAGGTGCCACTGCCAGGCTCTTACTTCCCTGCCCAGTTTGGCTTGATTTTGGGGGCAACAAGGATTATATGCGGCTTTCTGCAGATGCATACGTCTGACAAGATGCTGTCTATCTGGGGCTTCTCCTCTATCCCTGGTTAGGGGCAAGGTGGCTTAGGCTTGCCTTGCTAATTGGTCCCAGTTTCTTCACAGTAGGGTGACTAGACAGCAAGTGTGAAAAATTGGGATGGGGGTGGGAGGGTAATAGGAGCCTATATAAGACACCGCCCCAAATATCAGGACTGTCCCTATAAAATTGGGACATCTGGCCACCCTACTTCACAGCCATTCCCAGAACAGTCTGTGTATTACAGTCCTGGCACTTCAGGGGCTTTGAGTCTAATTTTTTGACAATCACAAATCAGAACAAAAACAATGAAAACAAACAAACAAAAGGAACTGTGGCCATTGCCTGTGGGGGAAGACAGATGACTGGGGAAAGGAACTTTCCAGAAAGACAGCAGCTGAGGGAAACATGCCAGAAATTCTCATGCACACTTGGCTTTGCTGCCTGATGGTTTTGTGTGGAAATTAGGAGCAGACAGAGGAAGAGCACAGGCCAGATTTTGTTAAACAGCTTTTTGTTCTGTTTTGCTTATGCTGATTTTCTTTAAGAGGATGAACAGGATAAGGAGCTACCTGAAAGTTCTATTGTATTGCATGCCATCAAAAGAGGCTGTAAATAAGGCCTTACTTAATTCACAATATTGCAGATTCTGCAATATTAGGCTTCCATTGCAATTCTGACAGTGAGCCCCCCACTCTCAGTCCCTGGGTGGTCAACAGTGGAAAACTGTAGAAAAGTAATAATGGACTTTATTATTGCAAATAATAAGGTCCATTATTACTTTTCCATGATTTTCCATGGCTTGTCTGCAAACTCAGCTGCAATTCTTGGACAATCATCCCACGATTCAAGTAGGGCCTTAGCTATAAAATTATAAACAAAAATAATAATCCATCTGAATTTTCATATTTGATGTGAAGTTGGGTACTGTTATTGCCCAAGTTTGAGTCTATTAAAATAAATGCTTAACTAAGCTGCTTTTACTTTCTGGGATATTTCAGATTGTGGAGCAACATCCCCATTGGTTTAGCTAGGCTAGACTGTTTGAATAACCTGAACAGTTGTCTGGGCTCAAGGGATAGCATATTTTGAATCCACTTAAGCATTTTCACTGCATCTTTTCCTCCTTTCATATTCTTTAATTAGTACTTTAACAGGTAATGCCCAAATGATGGGAAATTCTTATGCTGCTATTCTGTAGGGTCTTTTCTGAAGCCCTAATGATTGTATTTAATGCCCCACCTTTGCCTACAGCAGGTGCAGTACTAAGGTAACTAGTGCTTCAAGACTTGACCCAATATTGGCACTAAAGAGAGAATTCAGCAGTCATATATAAATACAGGATCTCTTTCTTCAGTTTTCTTGTGGGAAGTCTTAGATGTTCCTGTACATAAGGACCTTATGAATTATCCCATCCTGATCTCTACTTCCCCAAACCTTGGTGGCTTTGTGGAAGGGTGTGCGGGATGTATCTAATAGTGCTGTCGTCTTTGGCGAGCTATTTTCCAAAACATGCAGTAACGATTTATTAAAAGCCAGAGGTAGCTTACAAGTACTGAAAATGATGGAATCATGTAACTGCACAGATAAACAGTTCATTCTGATACTGAACTCTTTAATTGACATTAAAGGGAATTTACACATTTCTCTCTAAATAGTAATGAGCATATGGATGAAGTCACAAAGAAAAGCACAAAATAAATATTGTAGCATGAGACAGTCATTTATTTTAATAGAAATATATTCAAATACAAAAACACTGATGTACTATTAAGATAAGTAAATGAATAATTAAATGTGTTCTTTTCTTTTTAATTGTATAGTCGGAGTAAACTTTTCTCTTCTAGGTAAGTTTACTTCTCTTTCTTTCACATACCCAAGTTACAAAAAGTGAAAGCTATTTAGATAAAACAAGAACTTTGGCAGGCTGTTTTAAGTGAGCACCAATAATTCATTTGCAGTATTGTTGTAGCTGTGTTGGTCCCAGGATATGAGATAGACAAGGTAGGTCAGGTAATATCTTTTATTGGACTAACTTCAGTTGGTGAGAGAGACAGGTGCAATCTTTGTTTGGTGATTAATAGCCACCACTCTGAGTGGGGGGGAGGAGGGGGTATGCTGATTTGGATAATGATGCTGAACAGCTGATGGATTGAGTGACTAACAACAACTTTGTGTTGCTTCACAATGCAAAACACAGCACATTTCTTTCTGCTAGATGGTCAAAAAAAGTACTCGCCCGACCTTTGCTGGGTCAGTTCGCTAGGCGGCC